CGACTTACCCACCGTGTGGTTCCATTAATGATTATTGAAGTCATCCACTGAGTAATTTTGGTCTGGAATATTATGTTGATGAGGCAAATCAACACGGCAACTCTCCACATCCTGATATAATGGTCTTTTCCACGGAAACTAAAGAAACATTCAATGATGGACTAGGCCACGTGACAAAAATATTACACAAACTTCCAGAATTACTATTGGAACCATTGTCAAATCTGTTCCTCGATCCTTTCCTCTGGTTTTACGATGAAAGTGTCTTTCACTACGTCATGAGGCGTAAGGAGTTCCCTCTTACCGCTAGTCTATTCGGAGTCATTCTTGTCGACTGCTTCCGGGTTCATTGTCGATTATCGTACGTGCTACAGTGACGCTGCATGGAGCTATGCATTCATTCTTTCAACGAGCCTACGTTTTACTGCTCATCCACCCCGTAACGTAACGCCGATTATGAATTACGAACAGTGCATGTCGTACAGCTATTTTAGGAAACTCTGACTAGTCATTTCGATTTTGCACGGAAATGCACACTGTGTAATTTTAATAAACCTTTCCTCATGTGATTACTGTCAGATATGTTATTTCAGAAATATATTTCATTTTTGTTCCACCACATGATTGACTGTTGTAACTTCAACATTTTATGCTGCTGCATTCGTTTGACTCGATATTGCCGCTAAAATTGAAACTGAGCAATCGATGCAAATACCTCGACATGTTTGTGTTCAGGCGTTCATGAATTTATTTGATGATATTCTTCGAACACAGATATGGACATATTTGCATATAAATGCAAATACAATGGCGATTTTCGAGAGTTGTGCATTTGCCAACCTAACCTCGTACTTCGAAAAGAGAGGTGACATTCTTTCCACAAGATTTCGCTTGTTGCTTCCTCGGTCATGTCAGTGAAGCTGTAGTTATGGAAGCAATTGTTCACATGAAGGTGCAAGAACTACGAATGAACAGCGCATAGCAACGTTGGCTTCGACGCTAAAGGAGGCCAAACGACAGGACCATTTAAGCAATGACTCGTTTTCGTTTCAAGCACAGGTAACCTCAGTTGATATGCAGATTAAAAAGAGGAGGTTGATCCTCTTAGACAAAATGGCTGAGCATAAACCATATGCCCCAATCCATAAGCTGAAATATTCCTTGCCTAGTCGATCAGCGTAGAACTCAGAGGAAAAAACAGAGGCGGATTCACATTTGAAAAAGAATGTTTCCTTCTACGATACAGTAACCGCTGCCGTATAGCTGCAACTGCTGTTCAGCGGTATTCTGCATTCGCAAACGGCTGAAAGAGATCATCTCAAAAAGCACACAAACCGTGCTAATTGAATCGTCCATCACAGATGCGTGTTCGATTTTAAATCGTCGCAACTGTTAGATTCATGGTCACTCAGAGTTAATATATTAGCTATGACAATATGCTTTATAAGATACTCAAAATTAATGTGAAACATTGATCTATCGGGCAATCTACCGTGTTCCTGAAGGAAAGCAGCCCAAGGACAGGCCACGGGCCAGAACTAGATTACAAACATGGAACCGGGTCTTTAGAATTCAGAGCTTAACGTCTTCTGTTTTGCGTCATAGCAAAGCCTTTGAAGAGACCTTCTGAAGAAGCTGTATCAAGCACTCGAAAGGAATGAAGGACTAAAAAAGTAAACGAATCAGATCAAAGTCTGAACGTGAAGCTGATGAGGCTGGAAATCTTTTGGGGACGGGGGGGGGGCTGGTGACGTCAAGGCAGTCGTTCTCTTTTAATCGAAGATTTTGACTGTTTTGTTACGCTCTCTTTGGTTAACAAAAAGAAGAATTTACCAGTTGTCTTTCAATGATCTTTGATTTACATATCCTTTATCGTTCTTAACATTATTTTAATGGTCTTTCCGGTAAAGATGTACTGAAGGTTAGCAAGAAGAACGTATGTATCAATATTGAGCAGTGACACTGCTGAAATAGGTATATGATTTTTAGGAGACGTTCTCACTAATCTTTCTTCTGTCAGAATCAGGCTCTCAAATCTCTTACAACAAGAACTGTGGGGGAAAGTGGAAATAATTGTTCGTTCACTAAAGTAAGACAATTCAAAAACGCAGCTCTGAAATCGATCAATCACTCTGACGTTCCTCTCCCCTTTCGTCACCTGCAATCACTCTCTATTCAGCGAACGGAAAGCATTTTAATTTGGTACATGGAATCGGTTTGGACATGTATTGCGAATGCCTCCAGAAAGGAAGGCTAAGTAACTGTTTCTTATCAAATCCGACCGGCAGAAGGACCACGGGACGGCCAAGATTAGCTTGGTGCAAGTATATGGAAGGAGTCTGTTCCAGACTCCATCTGTCATTTGCAGAAGCTCAGACTCTGACACAGGATCGGGAACGTTAGAAGCTTTGTCTGACGC